AAGTTATACAATATTGAACTCAGTATAAGCCCTGTAAGACATAAAATTGAATGAGTTTTTAACCTTTAAAAAGGATCTCCATTTCATTTTAGAATATATTGTTCCTTGCAGAAAGACTCTATTTGTGCTACTAACACTGAGACGTTGGCACATGCATCTCTAATCTTTATGTATCTATAACTAGTCATAAGAGGTTGCACTTGGATCCTTGGCGCCTGTGTATGTATAAAGTCATCAGGTAGATTTCAATGATAATGTTTATCACCTCTACTAATTTGCATGATGTAAATTTCCATGCTTCCTCCTCAAATATAATTCATTTAAAAAAATTTGTTGATTTTTTTAATGTGTGTGTATATCACACAGAACATCCCAAACCATCTTATTCGACTATACATCCACTTCCCAGATGGCACCCTCCCACAGCCTCCCTCGCCCCACTAGAGCCCTTATACTCTGATATCCCTGATACTGTCTGCTGTGCTGTCGGCACCCTCAGCCATTCCCCACACTTGCCCTTCTGGTGAATCTAGTCAGCCTATCTAGAGGTCTTTGTTTTAGGAGGGTCAATGAGGGAGAACATATGTCGATTTTTTTCTGACTCTGTTTTACTTTACTTAGTATAACAGTTTCTAGTTCCATCCATTTACCTGCAGATTTCATGATTTCATTTTTCTTTACTGCTGAGTAAAACTCCATTGTATAAATGAACCACATTTTCATTATCCAGTCAATTGAGGGACACTTAGGTTACTTCAATCTCTTAGCTATTGTGAAAAGAGCAGCAACAAACATGGATGTACAAGTGTCTCTGTAATAGGATGAGTTCTTTGGGTATATGCCAAGGAGTGGTATAACTGGGTCAAATGGTAGGTTCATTCGTAGTTTTTTAAGGGTTCTCTACACTGCTTTCCATAGGGGTTGAACCAGTTTGCAGCCCCACCAGCAGTGGATGAGTGTTCCCTTTTCCCCACATCCTCTTCAACATTATGGTATCATTTGTTCTCTTGATCTTAGCCAGTCTGACTGAAATAAGATGAAATCTTAAAGTGGTTTTAATTTGCATTTCCCTATTTATTAGTGATGTTGAACATCTTTTAAGATGCTTCATAGCCATCTTTACTTCTTCTTTTGAGAACTCTGTTCAGCTCCATAGCCCATCTTTTAATTGGTTTACTTCTTGTCTTGATTCTCTTGTCAATGATTCTCTGTCACATGTGTCGCTGGTGAAGATTTTCTCCCATTCTGTGGGTTTTCTGTTTGTTTCCTTGGTTGTCTCCTTTGACGTACAGAAGCTTTTTAGTTTAATGAGGTCCCA